TATCCAAGACCATGTTATAGTGGTCCAGTGTATCCAAGACCATGTTATAGTGGTCCAGTGCATTCAAGACCATGTTATAGTGGTCCAGTGTATCCAAGACCATGTTATAGTGGTCCAGTGTATCCAAGACCATGTTATAGTGGTCCAGTGTATCCAAGACCATGTTATAGTGGTTCAGTGTATCCAGGACCATGTTATAGTGGTCCAGTGCATCCAAGACCATGTTATAGTGGTCCAGTGTATCCAAGACCATGTTATAGTGGTCCAGTGTATCCCAGACCATGTTATAGTGGTCCAGTGTATCCAAGACCATGTTTATAGTGGTCCAGTGTATCCAAGACCATGTTATAGTGGTCCAGTGTATCCAAGACCATGTTATAGTGGTCCAGTGTATCCCAGACCATGTTATAGTGGTCCAGTGTATCCAAGACCATGTTATAGTGGTCCAGTGTATCCAAGACCATGTTATAGTGGTCCAGTGTATCCAAGATCATGTTATAGTGGTCCAGTGTATCCCAGACCATGTTATAGTGGTCCAGTGTATCCAAGACCATGTTATAGTGGTCCAGTGTATCCAAGACCATGTTATAGTGGTCCAGTGTATCCAAGACCATGTTATAGTGGTCCAGTGCATCCAAGACCATGTTATAGTGGTCCAGTGCATCCAAGACCATGTTATAGTGGTCCAGTGCATCCAAGACCATGTTATAGTGGTCCAGTGTGCACAAGACCATGTTATAGTGGTCCAGTGCATCCAAGACCATGTTATAGTGGTCCAGTGTGCCCAAGACCATGTTATAGTGGTCCAGTGTATCCAAGACCATGTTCTAGTGGTCCAGTGTGCACAAGACCATGTTATAGTGGTTCAGTGTGCACAAGACCATGTTATAGTGGTCCAGTGCATCCAAGACCATGTTATAGTGGTCCAGTGTGCACAAGACCATGTTATAGTAGTCCAGTGTGCCCAAGACCATGTTATAGTGGTCCAGTGTATCCAAGACCATGTTCTAGTGGTCCAGTGTGCACAAGACCATGTTATAGTGGTCCAGTGTGCACAAGACCATGTTATAGTAGTCCAGTGTGCCCAAGACCATATTATAGTGGTCCAGTGTATCCAAGACCATGTTATAGTGGTCAAGTGTGCACAAGACCATGTTATAGTGGTCCAGTGTATCCAAGACCATGTTCTAGTGGTCCAGTGTGCACAAGACCATGTTATAGTGGTCCAGTGTGCACAAGACCATGTTATAGTAGTCCAGTGTGCCCAAGACCATATTATAGTGGTCCAGTGTATCCAAGACCATGTTATAGTGGTCCAGTGTGCACAAGACCATGTTATAGTGGTCCAGTGTATCCAAGACCATGTTATAGTGGTCCAGTGTGCACAAGACCATGTTATAGTAGTCCAGTGTGCCCAAGACCATGTTATAGTGGTCCAGTGTATCCAAGACCATGTTCTAGTGGTCCAGTGTGCACAAGACCATGTTATAGTGGTCCAGTGTACACAAGACCATGTTATAGTGGTCCAGTGCATCCAAGACCATGTTATAGTGGTCCAGTGTATCCAAGACCATGTTACAGTGGTCCAGTGTATTCAAGACCATGTTATAGTGGTCCATTGCATCCAAGACCATGTTATAGTGGTCCAGTGTGCACAAGACCATGTTATAGTGGTCCAGTGCATCCAAGACCATGTTATAGTGGTCCAGTGTATCCAGTGTATCCGGGAAGAACTAAAAGCCATAAATGAAGTCGAAAGAAACCCAAAGTATTTCTTCTATGCCAAATCAAAGTCGAGAACAACGTCCAGTATTGGGCCCCTACTTAAACAAGATGGGTCCTACACAGATGACAACAAGGAAATGAGTGAGCTACTCAAGTCCCAATATGACTCAGTTTTTAGCAAGCCGCTAACCAGACTGAGAGTCGAAGATCAAAATTAATTTTTTATGAGAGAGCCACAAAATTTGATTAACACAAGCCTATCCGATGTTATCCTGACGCCAAATGACTTCGAACAGGCGATAAATGACATGCCCATGCACTCTGCCCCAGGGCCAGACTCATGGAACTCCGTGTTCATCAAGAACTGCAAGAAGCCCCTATCACGAGCCTTTTCCATCCTATGGAGAGGGAGCATGGACACGGGGGTCGTCCCTCAGTTACTAAAAACAACAGACATAGCCCCACTCCACAAAGGGGGCAGTAAAGCAACAGCAAAGAACTACAGACCAATAGCACTAACATCCCATATCATAAAAATCTTTGAAAGGGTCCTAAGAAGCAAGATCACCACCCATCTAGAAACCCATCAGTTACACAACCCAGGGCAACATGGGTTTAGAACAGGTCGCTCCTGTCTGTCTCAGCTACTGGATCACTACGACAAGGTCCTAAATGCACTAGAAGACAAAAAGAATGCAGATGTAATATATACAGACTTTGCAAAAACCTTCGACAAGTGTGACCATGGCGTAATAGCGCACAAAATGCGTGCTAAAGGAATAACAGGAAAAGTCGGTCGATGGATCTATAATTTCCTCACTAACAGAACACAGAGAGTAGTCGTCAACAGAGTAAAGTCCGAGGCAGCTACGGTGAAAAGCTCTGTTCCACAAGGCACAGTACTCGCTCCCATCTTGTTCCTCATCCTCATATCCGACATAGACAAGGATGTCAGCCACAGCACCGTGTCTTCCTTTGCAGATGACACCCGAATCTGCATGACAGTGTCTTCCATTGCAGACACTGCAAGGCTCCAGGCGGACATCAACCAAATCTTTCAGTGGGCTGCAGAAAACAATATGAAGTTCAACGATGAGAAATTTCAATTACTCAGATATGGTAAACATGAGGAAATTAAATCTTCATCAGAGTACAAAACAAATTCTGGCCACGAAATAGAGCGAAACACCAACGTCAAAGACCTGGGAGTGATCATGTCGGAGGATCTCACCTTCAAGGACCATAACATTGTATCAATCGCATCAGCTAGAAAAATGACAGGATGGATAATGAGAACTTCAAAACTAGGGAGGCCAAGCCCATGATGACACTCTTCAGGTCACTTGTTTATCTAGGCTGGAATATTGCTGCACTCTAACAGCACCTTTCAAGGCAGGTGAAATTGCCGACCTAGAAAATGTACAGAGAACTTTCACGGCGCGCATAACGGAGATAAAACACCTCAATTACTGGGAGCGCTTGAGGTTTCTAAACCTGTATTCCTGGAACGCAGGAGGGGGGAGATACATGATTATATACACCTGGAAAATCCTAGAGGGACTAGTACCGAACTTGCACACGAAAATCACTCACTACGAAAGCAAAAGACTTGGCAGACGATGCACCATCCCCCCAATGAAAAGCAGGGGTGTCACTAGCACGTTAAGGAGACCATACAATAAGTGTCAGGGGCCCGAGACTGTTCAACTGCCTCCCAGCACACATAAGGGGGATTACCAACAGACCCCTGGCAGTCTTCAAGCTGGCACTGGACAAGCACCTAAAGTCAGTTCCTGATCAGCCGGGCTGTGGCTCGTACGTTGGTTTGCGTGCAGCCAGCAGCAACAGCCTGGTTGATCAGGCGCTGATCCACCAGGAGGCCTGGTCACAGACCGGGCCGCGGGGGCGTTGACCCCCGAAACTCTCTCCAGGTAAACTCCAGGTAATAGTGGTCCAGTGTGCACAAGACCATGTTATAGTGGTCCAGTGTATCCAAGACCATGTTATAGTGGTCCAGAGTGCACAAGACCATGTTATAGTGGTCCAGTGTATCCAAGACCATGTTATAGTGGTCCAGTGTGCCCAAGACCATGTTATAGTGGTCCAGTGTCTCCAAGACCATATTATAGTGGTCCAGTGTATCCAAGACCATATTATAGTGGTCCAGTGTGCCCAAGACCATGTTATAGTGGTCCAGTGTGCCCAAGACCATGTTATAGTGGTCCAGTGTGCCCAAGACCATGTTATAGTGGTCCAGTATATCCAAGACCATATTATAGTGGTCCAGTGTGCACAAGACCATGTTATAGTGGTCCAGTGTGCCCAAGACCATGTTATAGTGGTCCAGTGTGCCCAAGACCATGTTATAGTGGTCCAGTGTCTCCAAGACCATATTATAGTGGTCCATTGTATCCAAGACCATGTTATAGTGGTCCAGTGTATCCAAGACCATGTTATAGTGGTCCAGTGTATCCAAGACCATGTTATAGTGGTCCAGTGTATCCAAGACCATGTTATAGTGGTCCAGTAGTTGGGACATAGGTACAGAGGATAATGGAGGGGTGAGCCGTAGCTCCTGGTCCCAAGTCAAGTCTTGACTAACTTGACCGCACCCTCTCGTATCTAGTATTTTTGTAGTGTTTTGTAGTGTTTTTGTAGTTTCTATAACACCTCTGTGTCCCAAAAATATTAAAAATATTTATGTATGAAATAAAAACAGGTTTATATAACTTTTGAAGTAGCGGAGAAGTGTCAAACTGTGCTGCTGTAGACAGAAATATTTGATTTTAATGGGTTATTCTGGGTTAAATTTATATATTGTGCCTTGTATGTGTGTCCATAACACCTCTGTGTCTTAGAATTAATTCATATTTTTATTACTAAAGTCAAAATAAAAGTTTATTTGACTTTAGAAATAGCGGAGAAGTGTCAAACTGTTTTGCAGAGGAAAATATTTGATTTTAATGGGTTATTCCGAGTTATATTTACTTAATATAGTATAAATGTGTGTCCATAACACATCTGCATTTCTGAGACAATTGAGAATTGAAAAGAAGAATTAAGTTTTGCCTAAAAATCAAAATATTTGTTAATTTCAAAGTAGCGAGGAAGTAATAGATTGTATTGGATCATCACCATCATTCATTATTATGGTCAAAACTCGCTCAAAATTTATTATTATTTGATAACTCGTGTCTCAAAGACGATGACAAAAATGAGTTTTATGCAGAAATCAAAATAAAAGTTTATTTACAAGGCTTTCAAAATAGCGGTGAAGTGGCAGACTGTGCTGGATGTGGTGTTGTCCAGCTGGTCAAAACACTCCCAAAAATCATCAATTTTTTTGGTTCCGTGTCCATAATGGCAGGTAAATTTGACGTTATATATAAGTGGTCGCTTTAGAGGGGCCTTTATGCTGTTATTCTCGCTGGAAAATTGTAAAATTGTGGCTTTATATGACCTTTATAACGAGGTTTTTTTTTTTCCATGATGACCCGAGGGGGGGAGAGGCTCTTGATCCGAGAGATGTGATCTGCTCTCTCTCTCTTTCCAGCTGTATAGTCCTTGTGGCTTAGCGCTTCTTTTTGATTATAATAATAATAATCTCTCTCTTTCCTTGGATCAAACCTAAACGCCTCCCGTCCATCCCGGGGGCGGCGCTGTAAGGGCCCCCCTACAGGTTTAGCGCTCCCTTAAGTATACGATAGTTCGTGTCTTCCAGAATTTATATATATATATATTTTTTTTTTATATATATAAACACTTCCATTTTTTTTTTTTAATTTTTTTTGCTGTGATGAGCCGATACCAGGAGTCGGACCGAGTCCGATAACGATAGCGTCATAATTGTCTGATATCGATTCCGATACTTGATTTTAGCCGATATTGATGCTTATGAAAATTAACCGATACCCGTTAATTCCGATACCCACACTGGGTTTTACGCAATTCTGACGCCACCAGAATTGGCCGATGTTAATTCCGATACCTATCCATAATTTTAGCGGATATTGATACCATAAAAATTAGTCGATACCCATTAATTCCGATACCTGTACTTAGTTTTAAGTTATTCTGACACCATCACAATTGGCCGATATTCCGATACCTAATTACAGCCGATATTAACAACATAAAAATTAGCCGATACCCATTAATTCCGATACCTGTACTCAATTTTAAGCAGTTCCGATGCCATCAGAATTGGCCGATACCGACTGATTGCAGTACCAACGGTCAGTTTTAGGCCGTTACCGATACCACTAATTCCGATACTTCGGCACATTCCTACTTATGTAATACAATTATAGACAGGTATTTTTTACAGAACTAAGATATGGGGATGGAAATCTCTAGCTCTGGGTCTTTCACACTGCGCCGTCAGGAGCTGTGCAATGTTGCAAGACCAACAACGGAAAATTTCCCCTCCTGTCCGTTGCTGGTCTTGCAACATTGCACAGCTCCTGATGACGCACAAGAGTGTGAAAGACCCAGAGCTAGAGATTTCCATCTCCAGGAGGCTTAGTTCTGTATTCCTACTGATATTAACTGCATAAGAAGTCCTTAATACAGGAGGTATTAATATATAATACAGTGGACCCCCGACTTGCGGTATTAATTCGTTCCAGAAGGTTGTTCGGGTGCCGTTACCGAACGAATTTGTTCCCATAAGGAATATTGTAAATTAGATTAATCTGTTTCAGACCCCCAAAAATACACTTACAAAAGCACTTACAAAAATACACTTACAAAAGCATTTACAAAAATACACTTACAAAAGCACTTACAAAAATACACTTACAAAAGCACTTACAAAAATACACTTACAAAATCACTTACAAAAATACACTTACGTAATTGTTCGAGCTGGGAGCTGATTGTAAGTCTGGGATCCACTGTATTAATGTATAATATTCATAATACAGGAAATCTTCAACTTACGAACACGTTTGGGACCTGTATTGCGTATAATAATGATATACTCAATAATGGTATAATAATAATCTACGCAATACAGAAGTTTCTCAACATTTTTGTAAGTCGAGACTTCACTGTAGTCAGTGATGTAACGTCGAGGTGTTACTGGGGAGCGGTGCATTGAGATGGCCAGTGAAATGATGCTTCGAACATAGCCTTTTTGGAAATCAAGGTTACTGTATCTGAGGTTTTTTAGCGATGAAATGGAGGTATTGTTTCGGTTTTGTGATTACAGTTCAGCACACGTTAAACCAGGAATTCCCAGCCTGGGGTGTGAGATGTAAATAAGTACGTTTATTCAAGTACAGGTACACATAAATACAGTTAGACAAGTTATACATAGCAGCATATGTGTAGACGACCGGATAACCCAAAAAAAGCATTTCGGAAGGTGCGACAGAGAGTCTTAATGAAAACACAATTCCCTTTATTTTATCAAAAATTTTTCTAATTGCTCAGTTTATATTTACATTTTATGTGCAGGATTAAAATCACCCGCAGTACTGCATTCGGTTGCTATGGGTGCAGGACGTGGAAAAGATTGGGGACCCGTCTTAACACTCTGATGATATCAGTCTCATCCGTAACATTAACATCAGGAACGAGGACCCTAGTGGAAACGAGCCAATGACATCAGTGGAAATACTAAGTCACTTTGATTTTCTTGGGTTATGTTAGGTATCTACACACATGCTGCTACGTATGATAATTAATGTAACTGTATTTATGTGTACCCGTACCTAAATAAACTTACTTAACTAGAAACTCTTCAGCCTATATAGCCAATATATAGGGTAGTGGGACAGGGACGGGACCGTCCCTGTCCACCCTCGCTTATATACTGGCTTCCCTCGCCCTTTTATGTTAGTGTGACTTTGTAAATGGTCCAAGTCGGACCAAAACATCACCGTAAGCTCTCCTATGTGCGGATTATTTGTGTATACATATACAGTAGGACCCCCATATCCACGGAGGATATGTTCCAAGGACCTGCCATGGATACCGAAACTGTGGATAGTAGTAAACTCTATGTATAATCCCTATACATACTTATTATAAAGTTTAATTGATAAATTATGCACCTTCTCTACTGTTGCACTTTTAGGCCGTTGTTATGCAAAAGTAAGAGGTATTTTTTGGTCCATAGTAAACTGTGGATAACTAACACCGTGGATACTGAATCAGTGGAAATGCGGGTTCTACTGTATACACCTACCATCCAACTTACGACCTGCTCGACTTACGACCACTCGACTTACGACCATGTTTTTTATGCCAAATTTCTGCCCCAGGGCCAGACTCATGGAACTCTGTGTTCATCAAGAACTGCAAGAAGCCCCTATCACGAGCCTTTTCCATCCTATGGAGAGGGAGCATGGACACGGGGGTCGTCCCACAGTTACTAAAAACAACAGACATAGCCCCACTCCACAAAGGGGGCAGTAAAGCAACAGCAAAGAACTACAGACCGATAGCACTAACATCCCATATCATAAAAATCTTTGAAAGGGTCCTAAGAAGCAAGATCACCACGCATCTAGAAACCCATCAGTTACACAACCCAGGGCAACATGGGTTTAGAACAGGTCGCTCCTGTCTGTCTCAACTATTGGACCACTACGACAAGGTCCTAAATGCACTAGAAGACAAAAAGAATGCAGATGTAATATATACAGACTTTGCAAAAGCCTTCGACAAGTGTGACCATGGCGTAATAGCGCACAAAATGCGTGCTAAAGGAATAACAGGAAAAGTCGGTCGATGGATCTATAATTTCCTCACTAACAGAACACAGAGAGTAGTCGTCAACAGAGTAAAGTCCGAGGCAGCTACGGTGAAAAGCTCTGTTCCACAAGGCACAGTACTCGCTCCCATCTTGTTCCTCATCCTTATATCCGACATAGACAAGGATGTCAGCCACAGCACCGTGTCTTCCTTTGCAGATGACACCCGAATCTGCATGACAGTGTCTTCCATTGCAGGACACTGCAAAGCTCCAGGCAGACATCAACCAAATCTTTCAGTGGGCTGCAGAAAACAATATGAAGTTCAACGATGAGAAATTTCAATTACTCAGATATGGTAAACATGAGGAAGTTAAATCTTCATCAGAGTACAAAACAAATTCTGGCCACAAAATAGAGCGAAACACCAACGTCAAAGACCTGGGAGTGATCATGTCGGAGGATCTCACCTTCAAGGACCATAACATTGTATCAATCGCATCTGCTAGAAAAATGACAGGATGGATAATGAGAACCTTCAAAACTAGGGAGGCCAAGCCCATGATGACACTCTTCAGGTCACTTGTTCTATCTAGGCTGGAATATTGCTGCACACTAACAGCACTTTTCAAGGCAGGTGAAATTGCCGACCTAGAAAATGTACAGAGAACCTTCACGGCGCTCATAACGGAGATAAAACACCTCAATTATTGGGAGCGCTTGAGGTTCCTAAACCTGTATTCCCTGGAACGCAGGAGGGAGAGATACATGATTATATACACCTGGAAAATCCTAGAGGGACTAGTACCGAACTTGCACACGAAAATCACTCATTACGAAAGCAAAAGACTTGGCAGACGATGCACCATCCCCCCAATGAAAAGCAGGGGTGTCACTAGCACGTTAAGAGACCATACAATAAGTGTCAGGGGCCCGAGACTGTTCAACTGCCTCCCAACACACATAAGGGGGATTACCAACAGACCCCTGGCAGTCTTCAAGCTGGCACTGGACAAGCACCTAAAGTCAGTTCCGGATCAGCCGGGCTGTGGCTCGTATGTTGGTTTGCGTGCAGCCAGCAGCAACAGCCTGGTTGATCAGGCTCTGATCCACCAGGAGGCCTGGTCTCAGACCGGGCCGCGGGGGCGTTGACCCCCGGAACTCTCTCCAGGTAAACTCCAGGTAAACTAACAGCATAAAAAGTAAAGTAAAACATGAAATACCAAAATAAAACAATAAAATAAAGTCATTACAAAAATGTTTTGTTGATATTCAGTAGTAAAGTTCGACTTACGGCCAGTTTCTTGGAACCGAACTCGGTCGTAAGTCGGATGGTAGGTGTATTTTATTTGTACATTATGTAAATTTCTCTTTAAATTTGTTGTATTCTTCACTTATGATGTAAATAGTTTTGGAAAACATATATGTTCAGTTTTATCAAATTTATCGTTTAATTCACATGCAGATTTGAGTATAGTAAAGTTCTCAACTTAATATCATTATTATACACAGTTCAGGAGGTCACTAATATGTTCTTAAGTTGAAGTCTTTCTGTATTATGAATGTTGTACACGATGTGCTTGTAAGTCGAGGACTTTGCTGTAATGTTATTTCAGCGACCCCATGGACGGTAAGTCGCTCTGGTCGCAGGGTGTTCCGAGTGCTGACCCTGGCGGGAGCGACCAGCAGCTTCCTCATCTACTACCTCCCGAACACATACTTTCTTCGGAGGTACAGAGAAGTCACTCAGTTATACAGGTAGGTCACCACTAGTCTTGTTTATACAGGTGCTCCACGACTTACAGTGGCGTTACTTCCGACAAACCCATCATAAGTTGAAAATATTGTGAAATGAAATGAAAATGTTGATTTCCTTGCAAAGCTTACAATGTGTGGTTTAAATACAGTGGTCCCTCACTTTTCGTAGTTCTCGGCAATCGTAAATTTCGCCAATCATAGGGGTATTTTCGTATAAACATGGACTCACTTTTCATAGGTTGACTCGGGAATAGTAGTTCGTCCGGGAAGCATACGCACGGTGTGAGCCGGGGCGGCCTCCCTACCAAGCCACTCTGGCATTGTTTACCAGTGAGTGAAGGTCCCCTCACATGCTCCTACGAAATATTTCATAATATTCCACTCATTTTAGTGCTTGCAATTACTAAATAAGCTACCATGGCTCCAAAGAAAGCTCTTAGTGCCAAGCCTGTGGTAAAGAAGGTGAGATATATGTACAGTGACAAAGTCTTGGGCCATTTTAGGGAAGTGTTAAAGAGACGCCAGAAACAGAGCTCTCTCCACAGTTATTTTGTGAGACAGGACTCCAGTGACTCTCAAGGTGGTCCTAGTGGCATTAAGAAACAGAGAAGAGAAGCAACCCCAGAAAAGCAAATGGTACCTGAGGTGTTGATGGAAGGGGATTCCCCTTCCAAACTATAAACAATCCACTCTCTCTCCTCCTCCAGTCTCCCATACACTAAGAAAAATCTCCAATAAAAGTAAGTGTTATGATGTTAATGTTTCGTTCATCATTTCCCATTGTATTGTTTATGTACTACATGTATATTTCATGTTAAAACATTTTTTGTTTTAATACTTCTGGGTGTCAGGAATGGATTAATTGTATTTACATTATTTCTTATGGGGAAAATTGATTCGCAAATCATAGATTTTGATGATAGTAGCAACTCCAGGAACGGATTAACTACAAAAAACGAGGGACCACTGTATATATTGTATACGTTTTGATCCTGGGACCTTGGGCACTTCAGCTGGAGTGCCTAAGGTCACAAGACTGAAATGTATACAATAAATATGTCCTAAGTATATGGACTTGTGACCTTTCCTGGCCCATGGCTGGGCTCCGAGAGTAGTAACACTCAAAATGTATCAAAGGTTTTGTCCAGTGAAGTTATGTTTGATTCATTCTGAACTGTACACTGTGATACCACATGCAATAAGTGTACTGCAACATAGCCTAATTCTCTGTCTTTTCAGGAAGGGGTTTGAAGTGCCTGTGTCTGATCGCGTTACCTCACTGGTCAGTGAGGTCATGGACGATCTGGGTATCTCCAAGTCAGAGCGAAAGCTTGTGTCAACCTACATGTGTTATGGTTTTGAACCTTTCCATGCGGGCACTACGATGCTGATGACCGGGGGGATTCTAGGTGTCCCGGTCAATTTTAATTATCGCACAGTCGATGAGTTTGTCCAAACCAACGTAACTGTAAGTACACTATGGGATCATGTTCATAATTTGTGAGAGTACTCACCTAATTGTGGTTGCAGGGGTCGAGACTCAACTCCTGGCCCCACCTCTTCACTGACCGCTACTGGGTCCTCCCTCTCCCTTCTCCATGAGCTTTATCGTACCTCGTCTTAAAACTATGTATGGTTCCTGCCTCCACTACATCGCTCGCCAGACTGTTCCATTACCTAACAACTCTGTGGCTGAAGAAATACTTCCTAACATCCCTTTGACTCAATCTGAGTCTTCAGCTTCCAATTGTGACCCCTTGTTTCTGTGTCCCCTCTCTGGAACATCCTGTCTCTGTCCACCTTGTCTATTCCACGTAGTATTTTGTATGCCGTAATCATGTCTCCCCTGACCCTCCTGTCCTCCAGTGTCGTCAGACTGATTTCCCTTAACCTTTCTTCTTAGGACATTCCCCTTAGGTCTGGAACCAACCTTGTTGCAAACCTTTGCACTTTCTCTAATTTCTTGATGTGTTTGACCAGGTGTGGGTTCCAAACTGGTGCTGTGTACTCCAGTATGAGTGTGGTATGACGTGTGTAGGTGTACCTGAGCGTATTTAGATTTTTGTGCATTGAAGACAGGCAACTCAGTGCCAGTGTACATTGTTGTCTCAGCGTTACTACCACAGATCACAATCAGTGTGAGAAGGAAGTTTAATAAATATTTAGTTCAACGGGTTTTGATTCAACATACTCAACCCTTAAACTGTCCAAACATAGATCTACGTTCACATGCGTAGAGCTCCGACCTTGATTTTCCCCATTTTAAAGCATGTAAAAAAATGTAGATCTACGTTCAGGGCCTGCCGCACGTCAACGTATATCTACGTGTGGACAGTTCAAGGGTTAAGAAATATTCGACAAAATTCGTTGGGTCGGTTGATTCCATAACACAGAGTACGATGGTTACAGGATTGTGTCTTATTGTTACCATCATGGCAAAATAATCACATCCCCAGCTATTACCTGTGGCCTGGGTGGCAAAGCTATCGCATCACACACTGAGGGTCCTGGTTTAATTCCCGGGAGGGGTGGAAACATTAGGCGTGTTTCCTTACGTCTGTTTTCCTGTTCACCTAACAAATATGTACCTGGATTTAGTCGACTGGTGTGGGTCGCATCCTGGAGGACAAGATTGAGAACCACAATGGAAATAAGACAGTCAGTCCTTGATGATGCACTGCCTTTCTTGGGTTATCCTGGGTGACTAACCCTCTGGGGTTAAAAATCTGAACAGAATCTTATCTTCACAGACCGGGCCGCGGGGGCGTTGACCCCTGGAACTCTCTCCAGGTAAACTCCAGGTAAACCAACTAGCCATGGAACAGGTGGAGTTTGAACCCATGGCAGTGAGTCCTGAAACTGCAGGCCATGGGTTCCAACACCACCCATTTCATGTTTTGTTTGCAGTCATGTTATAGTTTTATGACTCCTCTGTTAGCTTGTTAAATCAGTGGTTTACCATAGTTTAGAAACAGCAGTCAGTGAGTTTAGTAGATAGTTAAGCAATCTGCAAGAAAGTTAAGCTATAATCAATGTTTTACTTTATTATTTTTTTTGTAAAGTAAAAGGACACAAGTGCAACTAATGTGACATTTATTGTGGCAATGTTTCGCTCTCCAGGAGCTTTATCAAGCCATTACAAACAATACATGGACACAGAGGGTATATAAAGGCTCAGAGTGAGGTGTAATACTAGTGAGGTACCATTTCGATGTTCACTAGTGGTAGTAGTAGTAGCAGTAGTAGTGGTAGTGACAAAAGTAATACAATATGGTAGAGCAATTAATTCGTACATGAGTAAAAGGATATAAAAGCTATTACTTGGGTAACATAAAATAGGTTGGACAAATATAGACTGGAATGAGGCAGCTTGTTTCAGTGTTCACTCTCTGTGCTTTGTGTAGTATAACAGGAGAGACTATGTGATGGCAGGGTTTACTGTTTTCAGGAGGATTCTTGCTAAGACTTCGGAGATGGTGAAGCTGCCGTTGTTTTGTTTAATTGTATTCGAAACAGCGATCAGTGCTGATTCGAGGCACTTGCGTCTGCGGAAATTAGTTTCTTTGATCACTAATTGTGTGTCTCTGAATTTCATGAGATGATTGGTGGAATTTCGGTGTTGTACACAGGCGTTGTTCAAGTTATCATTCCTACATGCGTAAATGTGTTCATTGAGGCGGGTGTCGAGGTTTCTGGCTGTTTCACCTACGTAAATCTTGTCACAGCCTCCACAGGGTATAGTGTAAACTCCTGCATTGACTGGTTCGTGGTGCTTGGATTTTGTCCTGGTTATATATATAACCAGGTTATATATATAGGACAGGTTATATATATAACCAGGACAAAATCCAAGCACCATGAACCAGTCAATGCAGGAGTTTACACTATACCCTGTGGAGGCTGTGACAAGATTTACGTAGGTGAAACAGCCAGAAACCTCGACACCCGCCTCAATGAACACATTTACGCATGTAGGAATGATAACTTGAACAACACCTGTGTACAACACCGAAATTCCACCAATCATCTCATGAAATTCAGAGAGACACAATTAGTGATCAAAGAAACTAATTTCCGCAGACGCAAGTGCCTCGAATCAGCACTAATCGCTGTTTCGAATACAATTAAACAAAACAACGGCAGCTTCACCATCTCCGAAGTCTTAGCAAGAATCCTCCTGAAAACAGTAAACCCTGCCATCACATAGTCTCTCCTGTTATACTACACAAAGCACAGAGAGTGAACACTGAAACAAGCTGCCTCATTCCAGTCTATATTTGTCCAACCTATTTCTATGTTACCCAAGTAATAGCTTTTATATCCTTTTACTCATGTACGAATTAATTGCTCTACCATATTGTATTACTTTTGTCACTACCACTACTACTACTACTACCACTAGTGAACATCGAAATGGTACCTCACTAGTATTGCACCTCACTCTGAGCCTTTATATACCCTCTGTGTCCATGTATTGTTTGTAATGGCTTGATAAAGCTCCTGGAGAGCGAAACGTTGACACAATAAATGTCACATTAGTTGCACTTGTGTCCTTTTACTTTACATATTGTCGGTAATTCTACCAACTTTATTACATTATTTTTTTTATTAACACATAGGCCGTCTCCCACCAAGGCAGGGTGGTCCACCAAGGCAGGGTGGTCCACCAAGGCTGGGTGGTCCACCAAGGCAGGGTGGTCCACCAAGGCAGGGTGGTCCACCAAGGCAGGGTGGTCCACCAAGGCAGGGTGGTCCACCAAGGCAGGGTGGTCCACCAAGGCAGGGTGGTCCACCAAGGCAGGGTGGTCCACCAAGGCAGGGTGGTCCACCAAGGCAGGGTGGTCCACCAAGGCAGGGTGGTCCACCAAGGCAGGGTGGTCCACCAAAGCAGGGTGGTCCACCAAGGCAGGGTGGTCCACCAAGGCAGGGTGGTCCGAAAAAGAAAAACTTTCATCATCATTCACTCCATCACTGTCTTGCCAGAGGCATGCTTACACTACAGTTATAAAACTGTAACATTAACATCCCTCCTTCAGAGTGCACACACTGTATTATTATGTATTATTTGGGAAGCATTAAATTCATTAAGGTTATAATAATAATAATAATTATTATTTCTACACGTACATGATGCAACTTATACAGGCCATAGCTGACATCAATGACATACTATATAGAAAGTGTCTGGTTATGTAGAACATTTCCCACAACTTAGGTTAATTTTGTCCCCCAGGATGCCACCCACACCAGTAAACTAACACCTCAGAAAATAAGAGGCAATCTGGTTTGACTCAAAAAAGGGGAGAATAGCTATAATTTCTTGCATCAAGGGCCTCTCACCAGCATGTAGGTACTTCCCTTAGAGGGTCATATCGAGACGCTCACCCACGTTTGCCTTTGACAGGTCAACAACAACCCAGTTCCCTGGAGCACCTCTGAGGGAATCTCGCTCAAGCAGTCGCTCAGTCTCAGTGATGATGCAAAAAAATTCGCCATTGCTCGGGAGATTACGAGTCTGTCTACTGCTCAGCCTTTTCTGCTGGGTGCAGTGTCTGCAGTGGTAGTGGGCTTTGTGTACTCTGTAAGCTCCACAGTCAATGCTAAGTTAAACTTGTATGCCAGACCTCGGTCTCTAAGACTGGTCTGGTATGGGTTAGTCTCCATGTTTGGGCTTGTCTTCTGGACGTTATGTAAAGACATGTCTACAGTCGAGTATGAGATCAATGCTGATAAGGCCGTAGCTAGCATTAGCAACAAGTACGCTGTTGGAGGGTTGGAGTACTACGAGAAAGTTCTGCAGAGAAACGTCGCTCTACGAGCACTCATGGGAAGCGACGGAGAAAAGGTTTACACCGTGTACGGCAATGATCAGGTGAGTAATTATAGATTAAAGATTATTTCAGCATGATGCAGTGTTTGTACACAGGTGGATGACATTTAGGTGTGCATGCAGAGAGCCTCCTAGTGTGTAGAGCATTTTGGTCAAACTTAGGACTATCTTATGACTCGGGCAATAATTAATTGATTGTAGATGAATGGTTCAGAGAACCGACAAGTTGATAATTTAGACACGTGCAACACTTGGGTAGCTTTAATGTGGAAATGTTTCACGCCACAGTGGCTTCATCAGACCATACAAAGGAGAGCGGTGAAGAACAGGAGGAGATTGAGGTAATCAGTCCCTCAGCCTTGAGCTGATGTGGTCAGTCCATCAATCTTGAAAAGAATGCAGCATATGTGTGAAGAAGTAGCTTATATACTGTAGGCAGGAGAGGTGCAGCAGTCGTAGGTGGTGTCACATTTGTTCAGTGTGGAAGTAGGTTGTGCCCAAGGCTTAGGCAAGTGAAGAATTCCCTGTATTAAGATCCCAAGATGTTGCTGTGTCAGACAGGAATGTAGATGAATGGTTCAAAGAACCGACACGTTGATAAATTAGACACATGTGCAACACTTGGGTATCTTTACTGAGGAAACGTTTCACCCCACAGTGGCTTCATCAGTCCATACAAAGGAGAACAGTGAAGAACAGGAGGTGATTGAGGTAACCAATCCCTCAGCCTTGAGTCGATGTGTAAGTAGAAGTCTTACTACTTCTACTTACACTTTGGTCACACTACACATACATGTACAAACATATATACACACCCCTCTGGGTTTTCTTCTATTTTCTTGCTAGATCTTGTTCTTGTTTATTTCCTCCTATCTCCATGGGAAAGTGGAACAAAATTCTTCCTCCGTAAGCCATGTGTGTCGTAAGAGGCGACTAACATGCCAGGAACAAGGGGCTAGCAACCCCTTCTCATGTGTATACATTACTAAATTTAAAAAGGGAAACTTTCATTTTTCTTTTTGGGCCACCCTGCCTTGGTGGGATATGACCATTTTGTTGAAAGTAGAAGAAGAGTACTGAGTAACTTTCAACAAACTGGCTGTTTCCCAATGAGGAAGGGTGGCCCATAAAATAATAACCATCATACACACTATCACTGTCTTACCAGAGGTGCTCAGATACGACAATTTGGAGGTCAATCTTAACAGCAAATATCCCAAACTCCTCCTCTAGAGCACAGGCATTGTACAGTGGACCCCCGCATAACGATTACCTCCGAATGCGACCAATTATGTAAGTGTATTTATGTAAGAGCGTTTGTACGTGTATGTTTGGAGGTCTGAAATGGACTAATCTACTTCACAATATTCCTTATGGGAACAAATTCGGTCAGTACTGGCACCTGAACATACTTCTGGAGTGAAAAAATATCGTTAACCGGGGGTCCACTGTACTTCCCTCTTCCAGGACTCAAGTCCTGTGCTGTATGTTCTTTTGAAAACAGGTTGACATTTATAAAATAATTATACAGTAGACTCTGGATAAATCGGACCTCAGTATAGCTGACTTAAAATTATGGACAAAATTCACTGGATAAATTGCTCTAACTGCTTTTCACTGTTTTTTTTTTTTTTTTTTTTTTTCAACAAGTCGGCCGTCTCCCACCGAGGCAGGGTGACCCAAAAAAGAAAGAAAATCCCCAAAAAGAAAATACTTTCATCATCATTCAACACTTTCACCACACTCACACATTATCACTGTTTTTGCAGAGGTCCTCAGAATACAACAGTTTAGAAGCATACACATATAAAGATACACAACATATCCCCCCAAACTGCCATAAATGTATAAAGGAGGGGCTCGGGATATTAGCAGTTTAGAGGGATATGTTGTGTACCTTTATACGTATATGCTTCTAAACTGTTGTGTTCTGAGCACCTCTGCAAAAACAGTGATAATGTGTGAGTGTGGTGAAAGTGTTGAATGATGATGAAAGTACAGTGGACCCTCGAATTTAGTCGTGCCGTTTCTGTATGCAAAACCATTTTTATTATCTATAAAATGTATTGTTTGTTAATATTTTTGGGTGTCTGGAATGGTTTAATTGGATTTACATTATTTCCTATGGGAAATATTAACAAAACATACATTTTATAGAGAACAAAAATAGTTTTGCATACAGAAAAGGCACTACTAAATTCAAGGGGCCACTGTATTTTCTTTTTGGGGATTTTCTTTCTTTTTGGGTCACCCTGCCTCGGTGGGAGACGGCCAACTTGTCAAAAAAAAAAACAAATGTAAACTATGTACGGTTCTATATTAGGTATACAGTACACTACTTTACTGCTTTTTATTACTATTTTTTTTAAGATACTGACATAACGAACATCTGCTGTTAGTCTGTTATGTCGAGGGTTCACTATATTTTAAATATTTGTAAGTTGCATCATCGCACCTCATACATTTGTAAGTTAGGGAACTGATGTGTAGATCACCCTGGTTTTATGTGCATTATCTTTATGCTAGTTTACTGCTATGTAGTGACCTTCTTCTATAGATAATGTTCCTTGGTTTATGATAGTTTGATTTATGATGTTTTGACTTTAGAGTGGTTTAACTTACGATATTTCGATTTTATGATTGTGTGACTTACGATATTTCGGTTTTACGATGGCTCGACTTACAATATTTTGATTTTACGATGGCTTGACTTACGATATTTTGACTTTTACGATGGCTTGACTTACGATATTTTGACTTTACGATGGCTTGACTTACGATATTTTGACTTTACGATGGCTTGACTTACGATATTTTGACTTTACGATGGCTTGACTTACGATATTTTGACTTTACGATGGTGCATTAGCTATGCACATTTATTGACAGGATAAATTTATATTCATTTATTTACTTGTCAATACAGTACTAGTATTTACAGTAATTATTTGTTTATTATTCAGTGGCAAATTTATTTATTCATTTACCATATACATGTACACGTACCATCCGACTTACGACCGAGTTCATTTCCAAGAAACTGGTCGTAAGTCGAACTTTGCTACTGAATATCAACAAAACATTTTTGTAATGACTTTATTTTATTGTTTTATTTTGGTATTTCATGTTTTACTTTACTTTTTATGTTGTTAGTACTGTATTTTATACAATAAGGTTTAGGATAAACACTGTGGACAACACAAATAGTTGTTTATTTCCCAGAAATTTGGCATAAAAAACACGGTTGTAAGTCGAGTGGTCGTAAGTCGAGCAGGTCGTAAGTCGAGTGGTCGTAAGTCGAGTGGTCGTAAGTCGAGAAGGTCGTAAGTCGGATGGTAGGTGTATTCATATTTGACTTAGGGTATTTTCAACTTACTTTGGGTTCATTGGAACATAACCCCCATTGTAAGTCGAGACACATTCGTATACCAAATACAGATAGTAAATGTCTGATATAAATAACAAAAAGGCACAATACCGTGACTGGAACGATACACAAATAACCCGCACATAAAAGAGAGAAGCTTACGACGATGTTTCGGTCCGACTTGGACCATTGACAAAGTCAGTGGTCCAAGTCGGACCGAAATGTCGTCGTAAGCTCCTCTCTTTTATGTGCGGGTTATTTGTGTAATGTCGGATATATTTATAAAAGAGTAATGACAATAGCTCCAATTCCTTGGATCAAGAACACTTGGCCAGCATTTGAAACACAAGTGATATAAAGTGTTTCGTGTGTTGGCAGGTGCTAGTGCGGACCAAACACCTGCCGTTCACCCTGCGACGGGACTACATGAAGACACAGCTCGAGGAGTACAAGAAGGTTAAAGAAGACACTCCGATTCCAGTGTCTGGAGATAGTGAAGCAGTGAACACTTCCTGAGGGAGGTATATATGACGAGAACAGCTCTTGGAGGTATATATGCTGAGAATGTTCTGGGGGCATGTATACTGAGAATGGCTCTTGGAGGTATATATGACAAAAACAGTTCTCAGAGGCATTTATACCCAGAAATAGTTCTTGGAGGCATATATGTTGAGAATGCTTCTTAAAGTCATATATACCAAGACTGATTCTTGATGAGGTTAGGTACGTACATCCAAAAGTATTACTTGGCATAACATATATTCCTGGAGGAATATACATTATACCAAGCATGGTTCTTAATAGAGATGTATACACCAAGAACTGCTCTCATAATGTAAATAACTCGCCATGAAACTTCCCATAATAGTTTTGTGTTTTTCAACACAACGGCCGTCTCCCACCAAGGCAAGGTGACCCAAAAACGAAGGAACTCCTGTTTGATGATTGTAATATAGAGGACAAGGGGTTACTAGCTCCTTCTCTTGTATAAATTCTTCTTTCAGCAAACTGGCCTTATCCCACCGAGGCAGGGCGACCCAAAAAGTAAAAATGAAATACCAAAATAAAACGATAAAATAAAGTCTTTACAAAAATGTGGTTAATATTCAGTAGTAAAGTTTGACTTACGTCCATTTCGACTTACGACCAGTTGGTCGGAACCAAACTCGGTCGTAAGTCGGATGGTACCTGTATTACTAAACACTACAGTTTATACTCTTTACTATAAATTTATTCTGTATAAAAACATAAGGAATCTTTATCTTTGATATATCTACATATTTTATATACATAGTCACAAAACATCAAATAAGTAAAAAGTAACATCATAATAACCCTAATGTCTCAGTGTCACATGTCACTGTCATCTTCGAGTGTCTTACGGCACTACCAATCCCAGTGTCATGACGCCTACTTCTCTGTGTCACTAGACACCCTTATCTCTGTGTACTGACGCTCCTTCTCTACCATGTCACACGACACCCTTTTCTCCGCGTCATACACGCCTTCACTACCGTGACACACGACACTGCATTATCCCCTTGTCATAACACTCCTTCTCTGTATTTCCTTTTCTTCGCAGCATCTAACACTTCAACACTCCGAGTTACATGACCCTTTACTTGTGTGCCGTGTCACCTGACACTCACTGGGTTACCACACCCTGAACTATACTTCTGTGTCCGTGTCACCTGACACACAGTGCTCACGGGGTACAACACACACCCTGGCTTTCCACAGTACTTGTCTGTCACCTGACACAACGCTCACCGGTTACAATACCCTGACTCATACTTCTGTCCGTGTCACATGACACGCTCACCGGGTTACACACCCTGGTGTTCCACATCCGTCCTCTACAGAGACCTACATGTCCCAGAGGTCCACAGAAGCCTAAGTCACCAGGTATCTGGTCCAAGGCAGTCTGGTGAACACACAACAGCCAGTAGATGCACACCATGAGGCAGTCTGGTGAACACAATCACCAGCAGGTGTAGAGTCCGCTGAATACTCAGTCAGGCCAGCTCACCAGCAAGTGTATTCAGTAAAATCTGGTGAACACTGAAAGGCCAGCCACCAGCAGGTGTAGAATCTGCTGAATACTGACAAAGGCCATCACCAGCAGGTGTAGTCCATGAGAGTCTGGCAAATACTCTCTTCAGGTGTACTCCGTGAGGAAGTCTAGTGACTACTGACATTCAGTTGTACTCCGTGAGGAAGTCTAGTGACTACTGACATTCAGGTGTACTCCGTGAGGAAGTCTGGTGACTACTGACATTCAGGTGTACTCCGTGAGGAAGTCTGGTGACTACTGACATTCAGGTGTACTCCGTGAGGAAGTCTAGTGACTACTGACATTCAGGTGTACTCCGTGAGGAAGTCTGGTGACTACTGACATTCACCAGCAGGTGTATTCTGTGAGAGTCTGGCAAATACTAACATTCAGGCCAGCTCAGAAGCCCCCACATTGGGTCTGATGACATACATCGTGGTACCGCTGGCCGGCAGGTCAACTACCCAACCCCCAGTGTGGTAAGAGGCCGCAACACCAAGGCACGAATTGCTGTGTGACAGTGGAACAAATTTATTATTTTGTAAGGGAAGTGGAGAAGAAGCCTTCCTGCGTAGGTCATGCGTGTCATACAAGGAGAGTAGATTTCTTCTTTTCTTGGGTCACCCTGTCTCAGTGAGAGACAGCCGTTGCATTAAAAAATGATACTGTTTTGTAAGTCTTGCTGTATACTGTATATACAGTACAATATATAGCAGTACAGTGGACCCCCGGTTTACGATCAGCTCCCAATGCGACCAATTATATAAGTGTATTTATGTAAGTGCATTTGTACATGTATGTTTGGGGTCTGAAATGGACTAATCTAATTCACAATATTCCTTATGGGAACAAATTCGTTCAGTAATGGCACCTGAACATACTTCTGGAATGAAATAATGTCGTAAACCGGGGGTCCACTGTACTTATATTGTTGGTAAAGTATTGTATATAACACTCAGTCTTGTTGATGGTTGTTGTATGGCAAGTCTTCAACTTTAATAAAAGTTAAAATATATTATTTTCAATTTTTTTTTTTTTGCCTTTTGTAAATTTTGTATAATTTTTATTAATGACAGTCAAGCTGTGAAAAAATTGTATTCTCCATTGGAAATATTTTTAATTTTTTAAGAAAATTGCTTCATAGTTGTTTACCTAGCAAATTTAGTAGTGATTTGTCTCGATATTTTGTCGTGTTGTGGATATATTAGTGAAGGTGTTCAGGGAAACTTGTTAGCCGGGTCGATTGGAGCCAACCCGGTTAACAAGTTTCCCCGAACACCATCTTGACCCTTCCTGCCTACCTCCTGCAGTACAACATCACCCGCCTCGTCAGCTGCTCACTGCTGATCCCAGCAATCCTCACACATCGACTTCGACACCTGCAGTACACCTGCACAACTTGCCCAGAGTGGACAGCCCACTTACCTTTACCTTCCCTCCTCCTCCACCATCCCAAACCTTTCCCATATTTCCATCCTTTCCCATCCTTCTTCCTTCCTCATCTTACCGAAACTCTGGTCAGAACCTCATAACTGTTAGCCGGACTTGAGTCCTGGAGGTGGGAAGTACGGTACCTGCACTCTGAAGGATGGGTGAGGATGTTACAGTCCTGGAGGTGGGAAGTACAGTACCTGCACTCTGAAGGATGGGTGGGGATGTTACAGTCCTGGAGGTGGGAAGTACAGTACCTGCAATCTGAAGGATGAGTGAGGATGTTACAGTCCTGGAGGTGGGAAGTACAGTACCTGCACTCTGAAGGATGAGTGAGGATGTTACAGTCCTGGAGGTGGGCAGTACAGTACCTGCACTCTGAAGGATGAGTGAGGATGTTACAGTCCTGGAGGTGGGAAGTACAGTACCTGCACTCTGAAGGATGGGTGGGGATGTTACAGTCCTGGAGGTGGGAAGTACAGTACCTGCAATCTGAAGGATGAGTGAGGATGTTACAGTCCTGGAGGTGGGAAGTACAGTACCTGCACTCTGAAGGATGAGTGAGGATGTTACAGTCCTGGAGGTGGGCAGTACAGTACCTGCACTCTGAAGGATGAGTGAGGATGTTACAGTCCTGGAGGTGGGAAGTACAGTACCTGCACTCTGAAGGATGAGTGGGGATGTTACAGTCCTGGAGGTGGGAAGTACAGTACCTGCACTCTGAAGGATGGGTGGGGATGTTACAGTCCTGGAGGTGGGAAGTACAGTACCTGCAATCTGAAGGATGAGTGAGGATGTTACAGTCCTGGAGGTGGGAAGTACAGTACCTGCACTCTGAAGGATGAGTGAGGATGTTACAGTCCTGGAGGTGGGAAGTACAGTACCTGCACTCTGAAGGATGAGTGAGGATGTATCAGTCCTGGAGGTGGGAAGTACAGTACCTGCACTCTGAAGGATGAGTGAGGATGTTACAGTCCTGGAGGTGAGAAGTACAGTACCTGCACTCTGAAGGATGAGTGAGGATGTATCAGTCCTGGAGGTGGGAAGTACAGTACCTGCACTCTGAAGGATGAGTGAGGATGTTACAGTCCTGGAGGTGGGAAGTACAGTACCTGCACTCTGATTACCTCCCATTCCCCAGATGCTGTACAGCCATCTTCAAGTATAAGTCCTCTCACATTCCCCTCCAAATATAATTAACCTACTCCACTCTATCATATTGTATATAGTTTTTCTTAAAATTCGTATAACTTTTTCTTATTGTAATTTAGGTTAGGTTAGGAAAGATTCGTCAGGAAACAGGAGAATTGTTTCCTGGTGGCTAAGGCTCTCACTTCACATGACGAGGGTCTGGGTTCGATTCCCAGCCAGGGTAGAAACATTGGGTGTGTTTCTTTACACCTGTTGTCTATGTTCCCTATCAGTAAAATGGGTACCTGGGCATTAGTGAACTGGTGTGGGTCACATCCTGGGTGTTAGTGGACTGGTGTGGGTCACATCCTGGGTGTTAGTGGACTGGTGTGGGTCACATCCTGGGTGTTAGTGGACTGGTGTGGGTCACATCCTGGGTGTTAGTGGACTGGTGTGGGTCACATCCTGGGTGTTAGTGGACTGGTGTGGGTCACATCCTGGGTGTTAGTGGACTGGTGTGGGTCACATCCTGGGACAAAACTGACCTAACTTGTAGGAAATGCTATACATAAGTGGCCTTCTATATACATGTAGTAGTATGTCATTGATGTCAGCTATGGTCTGTATACCTTGTATATATACTTGTAGAGATAAGAATATATTATATTATCATTATTAGTAGCAGTAGTATACTTCTATGCCAGCTATAATGACAGTATCAATAACAAGTTTATTTTAGCATGATATATGTTCATACAAAGGAGTGTAACAATTGGGTAAACATGCCGAAAGCCCCTTTATATGCAGAGCATTTTGGGCAAACTTAAGACCAACTTATGGTTACGGTGTCCCGTATCTCGATTGGTAGTGCACTCGCCTCACACACTGAAGTCCATGGTTGGATCCCTGGTATGGGTGGAAACATTAGAACCTGTTTCTTTAAGACACCTGCTGTCACTGTTTACTTTGCAGTAAGTAGGTACTTGGGTGTTAGTCGCCTGGTGTGGGTCACATCCTGGGTGTTAGTCGCCTGGTGTGGGTTGCATCTTGGGGACAAAATTGACCTAATTTTCAGGAAATGCTCTGCATAACCAGAAGCTTTTTATATAGTAGTATATCATTGATGTCAGCTATGGTCTGTATACCTTGTACATGTATAAATACAGATTATTATTATTATTATTATTATTATTATTATTAAATGTTACTTAATACATGAAATATTACCTGTAATGTCAGATAATATCATTTAATTAAAAGATAGTACTTATAAACTTACTGGGCCATTACCCAGCTTCCTTCAAGGGAGGTTCCTTGGTGCTGGTGAGGGGCTCTTGATCTAGGGAATTGGATCTGCACTCCAGTTCCCTGAAGTGACCCTGAATACCTTCCATCCCCCCCCCCCTACAGGTGCTGTATAACCCCGACAGATTTAGCCCTTCCCCATAATAATATAACCCAGTGAATTATTTCTTGTAGTCTTTTAAGATTATGCTTACCGGAAATTCTCTGCATCTGAGCCTGTCCCGTGGCCAGGCTCCAGGAGCAGCAAGACTAGACACTCGTCAGAGGTACGTATAATTATGGTCTTTTGACATGCTCTCGTATGTGACCCATTACTCTACATGTCATTATTATATCATTATTGTGTATAATATCATTATACATAATACGAAAGGTCCTCAACGTGTTCGTAAGTTGAAGTCTTCCTATACTGTATTATGAATATGTATTATCCACAATACAGAAGGTCCCCAGTGTGTTTGTAAGTTGCGGACTTACTGTATACATAATATATCACGAACTCTGATTAAGTTGTAATAAATAACTGTCGATAAATAAACAGAAAGATGAACTGGGGCACAAACCATGGTCCATAAATTGACAATCCGATGCTCTGCTATCTCCACCACGGGGCTTGCAAGAGAAGGAATTGGAACTATGGGAGGGTCCTGTGTATACATCTTTTTGTCGGTGTTCCGTTGTTTATGTTCTGTTGTGGGTTTAGTGCTTCTTGTTTCAACAAACCAGCTGTATCCCACTGAGGCAGGGTGACCGGGTGACCCAGAAGGAAAAACGAGCTTCTAAAAAAAAAAAAAAAGTTTCTTTGAGTGTTTAGTTATAATTAGTTATAATATTAATGATGTTCATTGTGTTCCACTGTCACCGGTGGATGGAACAACGGCTCAACTGAAAGCCAACAAAAATATGGAACACCAAAAATTGGTGGTGTATATGCTGGTCTCTCCTGTACTTATTGTTCGAGTATTATGTCAAAGTAAACTTGTATACGGCCTCTCCTCACTTAGCGACGTACTGTACTTGTTTACCGACGATCGGACTTACAATGGGGTCTCTGACCAGTATACATACCTAAATAATGTATATTACAGCTGATTTCCTCTATTCTCTTTATTACAATATACAGTACACTACTGTATAAACACTTAAAAATTTAGTATACTAAAAATATTATAAATGGTGCAAAGGTGACATTAAAACAATATCAAAGATGGTTGACACAAACCCACTACCATTATAGTGTGCTCCTTTCTTAGTAACAAATCGTTTACCGACGTGGTCTTAGGAACGTAACTCCATCGTTAAGTGAGGAGAGGCTGTATTATGATGAACAAAACCAATGGAACTTATGAATTTGGGACATTGCCAAAATGTACACCGTCACCCCTTAACTCCCAGGTGGGTTTAATGCTTAGTGGTTGTTTAATATATTTATAGATGGGGTTGTAAGAGAAGTAAATGCGAGGGTCTTGGCAAGAGGCGTGGAGTTAAAAGATAAAGAATCACACAAAGTGGGAGTTGTCACAGTTGCTCTTTGCTGATGACACTGTGCTCTTGGGAGATTCTGAAGAGAAGTTGCAGAGGTTGGTGGATGAATTTGGTAGGGTATGTAAAAGAAGAAAATTAAAAGTGAATACAGGAAAGAGTAAGGTTATGAGGATAAAAAGATTAGGTGATGAAAGATTGGATATCAGATTGGAGGGAGAGAGTATGGAGGAGGTGAATGTATTCAGATATTTGGGAGTGGACGTGTCAGCGGATGGGTATATGAAAGATGAGGTGAATCATAGAATTGATGAGGGGAAAAGGATGAGCGGTGCACTTAGGAGTCTGTGGAGACAAATAACTTTGTCCTTGGAGGCAAAGAGGGGAATGTATGAGAGTATAGTTTTACCAACACTCTTATATGGGTGTGAAGCATGGGTGATGAATGTTGCAGCGAGGAGAAGGCTGGAGGCAGTGGAGATGTCATGTCTGAGGGCAATGTGTGGTGTGAATATAATGCAGAGAATTCGTAGTTTGGAAGTTAGGAGGAGGTGCGGGATTACCAAAACTGTTGTCCAGAGGGCTGAGGAAGGGTTGTTGAGGTGGTTCGGACATGTAGAGAGAATGGAGCGAAACAGAATGACTTCAAGAGTGTATCAGTCTGTAGCGGAAGGAA